ATTTCAATTTGAATGTATTTTATATTTAAATATATATTTAAATATTATATTTCATAATTAAATATTGAAATTTATATTTGATCTTTCTCTGCTTTTATCTACAATTTCATAAGTTGGGAGCAGGTTCCCTTTAAAGCACATTTTACAGCATTTTTACGAAGTACACGATTTAGTTTGGTACGCGATTTAGTTTCAAAGCCGGACTATGCAAACAACAAATAAATCTGAATTGTTTTTATGGGCAACAAGGACACTTTTTCCTTCAGAAGAGTTTTCTCTTCTAAAGCCCACAAGACCCTGTTGTTTCCATGCAGATCATTCCTGGACAATTATTACTGCGAGAGGAGCAGTAAAGCACAGTCATCGTACGGTGCTTTTCAGAAGGAAGCCAGATCTGAATATGTAATGAGCAAAAATAATTGCTTTCATGTACAGAATATTTTCCCACCATACACAGAAACAAGGTAAAAAAAAAAGAGAAGCTCATTGAGAAGCTCATTGACAAGATTATTTCACTTCAGTCCTGAGGTGACACATTTCCTTGCACACAGCTGATCTCCCGATGACTAATCTTAATTAAACCTATGCAGACAGCCTTCAATTAGCCTTTTTATACGCCATCAATATTTAGGATGATTGAAACTTCAGCATAACTGTAAACTTGCAAACATATGGAAAGGCCATAAAAAAATACATTAATAATGAATGGGGTAAGTGGAGTACCGTTGCCAGTCTGGTGCCCTATTTAAGCCCCCTGGAGGCCCCACTGCAAGGGTAGGTTTTTTAAATTCCCAGAGTTCTTCTTTAAGTTTTTATAATGGTACAGGCTTAACTCCGAGGGGTTGCTTTTTGTGCTGATATTTGTATTCTCTCCCAGCCAGAGCACACATGTAATGGCTGCAAAGCCTTGACCTGTCTTCTTTGTCAGCTCAAGATTGGTAAATACCACTCTTTAGAGCTGCTGGGAGAAGATACAACTGTCTATTACGCGAGCCTTTCGTTCTTTTCCATGAAATTCTGAGATAAAATGTGCTATGTGACATCGGCAGCACAGTGGCTTAGTGGTTAGCACTTCTGCCTTACATGCTTGGGGGTCCCCAGGTTTGAATCCTGGTCAGGACACCACCTGTGAAGGTTTTGCATGTTCTCCCTGTGCTTGTGTGGGTTTCCTCCCATGCTCCAGAGGCATTAAATTGGCCCAGTAGTGTGTGAAATAGGGCCCCAATATTGTAAGCTCCTTGAGGGCTGGGGCTCCCTGGTTCAAACCTCTGTCAGAACACTATCTTTGAGGAGTTTATATGCTCTCCCTGTGCTTGTGTGGGTTTCCACTCCAAAGATGTGCTGAAAGGTGAATTAACCCTGTATGTGTGTGCAAGAAGGACCTTATATTGTAAGCACCTTGAGGGCAGGGAAGCTTCTGAATGTGCAGTATGTAAAGTGCTGCGTAAGTTGTTGGAATAAATACCTGTAATAAAACTTTTTTAGTGTCTGTTCCCAGCAGCTTAAGCAGGAGATGAGGGACCTTACAGCCTCACTCTCAACCGGTCACCTATGCTCCGACAGGGAGAGAATACCAGTATATAAAAACTAAAGTGTATGTGAAGCCAAATCATTATTTTTCATTTTCTATATTGGTAATGGATAAAAGTTGTTGGGATAAATACCTGTAATAAAACTTTTTTTAGTGTCTGTTTCTAAGCAGGAGATGGGATGACCTTTCTGATGGACCTTACAACCTCACCCTTGTGCTCCGACAGGGAAAGAATACCAGTATATAAAAACGAAAGTGTATCTAAAGGCAAATAATTCTTTTTAGTTTTCTATATTGATAATAGATAAAAACTCTGTTGAGTTTTTTTGTTACAATGGTATACCATTGGGGAGATTTCCCTTCATTTTCCATGCTGTAGGCTTTGCAAGAAGTAAGAGGACACCCTTCCAAAGTGAGCAAAATGCCATCAGATGTCACTGGAACAGGTGCCCCCATTGGAAGATTTCCTCTTAAATCCTGTTCTGCCAACTATTTAAACTTTTGGATTTGCCCTCACATTCTCTCCCGGGTTCCAGGGCTGATATAATGGGTAAATCCACCTTGTGGGCACACAGACAGCAGTGAGAGAGAGGGGATTCCAACTCTTCCTTATACTAGCAAAACATGAAAAAAATGAAGTTTTGGCTTTCGATAAACTTTGCTAAATCTATAAAAAAGTTCATGTTTAATTTTTGATTATTTTTAAAGAAATTAATTCTTGTTGCGATGGCACCGCGTTTTTAATTTTCTACGCTTTCCATAAGTCAGTCCCATTGGTTCTTTTTTTAAAGAGACATGCTACAATATGACTCCTACCAAGTCTAAGTATTTTGAAAAGTGAGACAAGCACATGGATGGTTAGTTATTACCTGCTGAAACAAGAGCGGCACAGACAGCGATAAGGAACATTGCCGTGCCTTTTGTAAGATGATACGTGGTTGTCAGCGGATGAGGAGTCCTGATTTGACTTCTAGAGATCCTCAGACAAAATTTCCATGTGTCAGCCGGTTCACAGTCTTCCTCACCTTGCGTCTGCAACCAGCCTGAGCTTTTCAGTCCCGTGCCTTTCCCTTTCAATACAACTTTCAGGATAAGACCTGCTCCTTCACCCTTGTGGCTCTAGATGGTCCCAGTGGCTCTAGACAAGCAAAAAGCCACTGTAGGTCCTACAGTAGGTGACAAAATAAGTTTTAAGTTGTGCAGGTGGCTAATTCCAAAAAAACAGGTGCGTCAAGCCGGCTTACTCCCAGGTCAGACGGTGTTGAAAATTTAAATATGAGTCACAGGGAAAAATTCAGCCTCCAGCCCTCGTAAGCCAAACTCGAAGTCGATAATTTGGTCTCCTGAAATTGAAGATGACACTTGGCTGGTATGGCACTAGTGAGCAATGAGGAAGGAAGGAGACTTGAGTAGCAGTAGAGGGTTTTCTCTTTGCGTAGGAGATAATAAGCGAGGAGCTCTATTCTCAGCTTAAGGAAACACACACACCCCTCTGTCTGAGCCAAGGACAAGCACGTCTGGGCAAGCTACTGTATTATGTTGAGTTACTTTAACCTTTTGCAATAACTAACCACAGAGGAAGGCTGGGTTTGGGCTCAATGACTGACACAAAGTAACCACAAAGACAAATTAGAGTTTTAGATCTGCCAGCGTGCGACGCTGTGAAAGAGGCAGACACTGCGCTGTGTTTGTGGAAATTCTCAGTGAGGAAATGAAAGAGAGAGAGAGAGGAAAGGAGCGAGAGAAAATCAGGGAAGCTGAAATAGAATGTTACAAAGGAGCTGGTGCATGTAAAAGACAAACAAATTGTTGTCAGAGAAGACCAATCAGAAATAATAAGAATCCATATTTATTAATTGGTAAAAACCTGGTCGGTTGCTACTAGCAAAACATCCAATTTTGGGCTATTTAAAAAAAAAATGTTAATGCATCAAAGGGAGGGAAAAAGAGAGAGAGAGAGAGAGAGAGAGAGAGAGAGATCAGAGAGAGAGAAAAAGAGAGAGAGAGAGAGAGAGAGAGAGAGAGAGAGAGAGAGAGAGAGAAAGTCTTCTCTGCAGTTTTAAATAGATAACTAGAAAAAGAAAAAAACATATACGAAATAAAGAGATAAAGTGAGAAGTAAGCAGACTACTTGTTCTTAAAAAAAATAAACAAATGAACAATTCATGTATATGTATTATAATGTGACAAATTCTTGATAGATAGATAGATAGATAGATAGATAGATAGAGAGAGAGATAGATAGATAGAGAGAGAGAGAGAGAGAGAGAGAGAGAGAGAGAGAGAGAGAGAGAGAGAGAGAGAGAGAGAGAGAGAGAGAGAGAGAGAGAGAGAGAGAGAGAGAGAGAGAGAGAGAGAGAGAGATAGATAGATAGATAGATAGATAGATAGATAGATAGACTACATACTGGAAATTCCTGATACATGATAACAAACAAACAACTTCTCTTTTGATTTTGATTTTGATTTCTCTAGAGGTAAATGTGTTCCAACAAGGGCAAAGCATGGGGAGTGTCTTTATTACATCTCTGTCATCTACAGCTAAGTCTACAGTTATATGTTCGGACAACTTACACATAAAATAACGTGAATTTACTGTTGCAGCATTTTTACTTCTATCTGTAGCTATCTGCTCATCCCTTGCTTCAACACTCTAATAATGAGTCACTAACCTGCAACAAGCATTTAGCAAGAGAAAGTCAAAGTACTGACACACGGGGGCACGTCCTTCATGATAGATAGATAGATAGATAGATAGATAGATAGATAGATAGATAGATAGATAGATATATTCCAAGGAAATCACAGAAATAAGCATTCAGTCAGATAGACATCTTAGTTACAAACTCCATTTCCATAGTCTATACTCTATTACAGCAGTTGTACCAGTTGTCTAAATATGAGCGTGCATTACAACAGGCACCAGAGTTAGATCGAGTGCTCTCAATAATCAGCTCTCACTAACAGGCATGGTGACACAGACTCCTCCCCTTCTCTGCAATGTAAGTCTGCGTAAGGGCACTGGTGCAGAGGGGTGTGGCTGTTACTCAGCTCTGTCAGAACAGGAAACTGCAGTGCAGTATTTTCAGAGAGAAAGAGAGTGTTATAAGGGATTGACAAACACAAATTAGTCACAAACATTTACATTCAAGGATAGACGAATATGAAGAGATCAAATAGATTAAACACTTCAATTGTCCTGGTGGAGAAAAAAACAACTCTCCCACTCCGCCCCCTATATCTAATCTATAATTTATTTTAATAAAAACCTACTTAAAAGCCCCAGTTACTACCTAAAACTCTAGTCACATGACATCCTTCTTCTGTAGTGTTGGAGAGCATGCAGTGTCCATGTTTCTTCCAGGTGACGTGGGCCCTGACCATGGGCTGCCACAGATCACAGGGTCCTCATATGGTCCTGATGCATTTCTGTGTGAATTCAGGATGTATAATGTATGATGGACACAAGAATGGTTGGAGGAGCAGCGGAGATCAAATAAAGGAATTTACAAAGAAAATCTACAGCAGCTTGAATTTCTCTCCCTGACTGTGGCTATGCCTTGTGCTCAGCAGCATGGCACAATATGATACAGGTATGTATATATGTATGTATATCTTATTTTAGTTTTTATATATATACATATA